ATATGCCTACAGCCACGGGCTTGAGGGCTACTTGCAAACCCGAGACCTCAAGAAGTGGACGAACCACCGCTCGCCCACCGACACGGCCGACAACGTGTTGCTGGCTCGTGGCCAAGCAACAACCGCGGAGGAGCGCAAGGCCAAAGAGCAGGCCGCCCTTGCCGCGGCCAAGGAGGCCAGAAAAAAGTCTAACGAGGCTGCCGATAAGATGTTGAAGCGTTTCGTAGCGGCAAAGCTCGCACCACCTCACGTCACCGGCAGCACCAGCCGGCGCGATGTTGTATCTGTGTACAGTAGGGGGCCCTCTATAGTGCCGGTATGTGTTCAGAGAGCAAAGCGGCACTATACCGGGCACCGGCACTATTCAGAGTACAGAAAGACTTGATATTCCGGTGTGTGCGAGCCGAAAACACCGGCACTATACCGGCAACCGGCACTATTCAACCGGCACTATATCGGGCCACCCACTGGAACCATATAGGTAGATAGATATTCTATCTTACATTTGCGTCCTGCTCCTTTATACTTCGATATAAAAAATTTTACATGTGGTCTTAACCGACATGGTATATAGTATTCTAGATAGATAGAATATATAGGACACAACTTAATGTAGATAGAATATACATCTATCAAGCGAAAAAGGTTGTTCTACTCGGCGCTGCCGAGCTAAGGGTGCAGGGCCCTGTCTGCGGGGCTGTACTCGGGGTAATACGTGCCGTTTCGGGACAATGCGCGGCGTTTCGGGGGTAATTTCGGGGTATTTTTCGCCCAAAAACGGCCATTTTCACCAAAAAAAATTGCCCCCGGATATCGATGCTTCTCGACCTTGCGGTTCTTCTCAACTTTTTTTCGCGTGTCAACTCTCAAAAACAAGCGAGAAAAAGTGGGGGTCATGTTGTGGAAAAATTTAACCGGACGGACTCTACGATATTGTCGGGCTGTCATGACCCCAATCGAAAATGCTTTACTGTACGTGACCGCCAAGGGGCCCGGACGCAAGCAACAACTGCCGATCTACAAGCCAACAGGCGCCCCGACACCCGAACCACGCCCACACAAGTAACCTTCCATGCTAATCGCTGCAACACAAGTCGTGCAAAACCAAGCACGTCGCATCCCATCAAATATACCACCCTACTGGGAAAAGAGCAGAGCAGCGGTCATCAGCCTGAACGTCAAAACCCTCAACGCCAAGAAGGAGGACCTTGGGTCGCTCGTCTCGCTTCACCCATTGCACGGCGAGGCCACCAACGCCGGCGTCATTGTTTGAGCCACGAACGGTTCCATGCAGGTTGATCCACGGAAAGTCGAGTTCGCGTGCCCCCCTCCCCCGAGGGAAAGTAGCAGCAACGTCTTGCAATATATGTACATCAATCATTTCATACGTTTTAGTATTTTGGAGTACCTTACACTGGCGGGAGCGAGGCTTTTCTATCGCTTCCTTCTCAGGGGCACGCACGGGGCTCATGGGTACATGAAGGCGTACGCCCGAGAACCGTTAGCCACCCGTCGCGCTTGTGCTTGACGCCCAAAGTTAGAAAACTGGCTCTATACCCCGGTGACGTGTTTCGCGCGAGGTAAGCCATCGCAAGAAGTATAAAAATGCTCTGCAAAAACACCAATGCTTTTGATTCCTGCGCAAGGCATGCAAGTCCCACACACCATGGGCACGAAGAATACTGCATAGCGAGTGATCAAACGCGGCGGATTACAGCAGAAGGACCTGCAGCAAAGACGCCACTAGCCTACAAGCACACACTCGCGCACACGTGAAAAGTTCCGGCGAGAAAAAAAGATACCCCTCACATGATACAAATTCCAGGCCAATTCTGCAGGTTGCGCGCAAAACCGGCATTACCGTGAAACATGACGTGAAGTTGCAACGATGCGACCGCGATGACGTTGGCTCCTCTTGCATCGCCCCCGGGAGGCAAGCCACCTACCTCCCGAAGGGAAGCCTTCTACTGGTATATCATTTTCCAGGAAACCGATCGTCGAGCGAGGTCTCAGCTCAAGAACCGCGCACATCTACCTGACCCTTGCACGGGGTGGTTCCACGCCTGCTGCTACCGCACACACCTGTCCTTGGCTAGCGTAGGCCGCGCACACGACGCCCACCGTATACGCCTCCACAAACGTCCATACTCCCAGCAGATACATGTTCAGGGGGTACTTGTCACGGTAGCTGCGTACCCGAAAGCGGCACAGCAGATTCGCAATAAAACCGGGGGGAGGGGGGCGCAAGGCGTGAAGTGGGAAGTGCGGAAAAGGGCAGGGAGAAAGGTCATCCACCGTGCGCACCTCACTGCGGTAGACCCTCACTGTCGACTACACGACAGATGATGCGAATTTCTTACATAACAAGAAGCCCAAAGAGTAGCCACAAGAGGATTATAGCGAACGCACTATGAAGAATCGATCAAGAGCTGATTCCGGTCCGGCTTTTCAAGGAACAACAACAAATATCGACAGCAATTTCGAGGGAGAATCGAGAAACAAGAGTCGTGGAGGGAAAACAAAAGTGTAGCAGCGCCGAATACGCGCGGGGCCGAGGGTTAGAAAACCACAAGGTGTACGCGAGTGCATCTCGTCTGCTCACCACGACGATCGGCACGCAACACCGCCAAGATGATCCCGCGTGCTGCTCAGGCTTGAGTGAGGGCAGTCAATCGTTGTTTCCTGACGAGTACGTTCCCACGTGAAAGGTCTGTAGAGCGTCTGTGTACTCGGCAAAAAAGTACAATTCCAGAAAGTCCCAGTTTTGAAGCGGGAATCTTTGCGCTCGGGCGTGTGATTGAGGTACAAGGGGGGAATCCGACCAACCTCGAGCAGGCTATAGTCCACGCAGGTTGTTCATGGTAAGCAATGGCATCTGCTGTTGGTGATGGTGATGAATGCAGCTGCTGCTGCTGCTGCCCGAAGCCTCTGGCCCTCTTCCTGGAAGCTACTGGATATAGTGTGGACCGGCAAAAGTGAAGGGTATGCGCGCCCTCTGACTAGTATCTTTCGTAATATACTTCGCGGGCAGAGAAGACCACGTAATATACTTACTTTTTGCGTAGGAATGCCCAGGAGGGACGCGGGCAGAGAAGACCACTCACCACATTAGACACAGGAGGAGGCCGATCGAAAAGAAGAAACCAACCCACACGGTCCAGAGGTTGCCCAGGATGCCGGTGCGAACGTTGTCGTTGAGGACGCAGACGGCCGAGACGGCGGCCGTGAGCAGCAGCTGGATCGACAAGATGCCGTACACCTTGCGGATGAAACCTTAAAACGCAACAGAACAAACAAGGGAGAGGTTTGTTGTGATGCATCAAGAAACAAAAAAAAAAGGGCCGCAAGGATACAACACACGTGAATATCATACCAGGTGCTTTGATTATGGCCGCTAGATTCACAGACTTCGAGGGTTTTTTCCTGCGAGCCGGACTTCTCGGGAATTATCCCCGTGGGCAAACACTAAAAACAATGTGAACAGGATCTCTTCCATGCCGTGTTCTGCAGCAGTGCCGATAGATGTGAGCTCAACCTCTCACTGCAGGCGCCTGTTTTCATAAAAAAAAAAAAATGCGAACAGAAACGCAACGAATTCATCTCTGTCCACAACTCATCTCTATTCACACGCGAAAGAGTACGAGATACGATACGTCGGTTCAAATCTGTTCGGCGAAGCTCTAGCCTTGTGATGAGACGAGCACACCGAAGTTTTTCGTTGCGCGCGGGCAAATATGCACACCAAAACATTGGATAATATAAAATATCTTGTACCATCAAACACTTCAATATCGCGACGCGAAACGCTAGGCTCCTCAAAGTTGCAATACTGCTGTATTTCAGTCTGGAATTCCCCGTGCAATGAAGTACGTCCTAAGGGAGCCTCACGTGTCGGGCCCTCCTCCCGCGTGATCTCAATGCAAGCACTTCACCTGGGAAATACAGTTTTGGAGGAAGATAATATCCTAAAACTACTGCTGTGTCTCGTCTTCTTGCGGCTTTTTCTTTGTCTTTTGCTCTCTTCTTTTTCCTGTCTAGGGATACCCGGCATAGCCTGCAGAGGCGAGCGCAGTGGCATAGACTATCTGTCGTTGACTTATATTGGCTTGCCAACCCTTCGGGTCCATTTATTCTATTTTCGTATACCCTTTGTGGGTAAGTTCGCTTGTGACCACGGGAAGCGACCCCGTCAAGTGTTAAACTAGTACGGAGAGAGGGTCTGGGCAGAGAGAACGGGACCGTTCTTTATGTGAAGACAACCTGCGTACACATTGCTTCAGGATACGACATCAGCAAGTTGACTACAAGTGCGAACCAATTCTACAACTTTACGGCGAACCATAGGCAAATGACACAGAGAGCACTTCATGCAAACGCACAGCTCCAAAGCAAACTGTGCTGCCGGGGATGCGTAAAAGCCCAATAGCACCAGGCTACCCCAGTCGAACACGACAGCAGTTCCGCATGACTCAACCGATCGGGCATTTCCTTCTTCCTCCGCTTACTGGCTTGTCACTATATCTCTCACCCAAGCGCAGAGCTTTCTCTATCTCGGCGGTGGAACCCCATGCCGTCGCTGCACTGTTCCCGCCACCCAGGTTGACATTGTGGACCAGCCCCGCCTCTAGAATCTCATAGTCCTGCTGCTGGTCCTTGTGGGCGGTTCCACTTTGTTGCTGTTGATACGAGCTCTCATCCGTCGGGGCATAAACATCAGCCTTCGAGGTCATTTCTGTAGATGAAGCGGGCGCCTCGTTCTGCGTGACGAGACCAAAAAATAACCAAGTCGCTGGCCTTTCGTGGGAAAGGGCTTCGCTCTCCTGCTTTGCCTGCCCTCGCTCGGCGGGATTGGTGTGGACACGTGAACGACAGCACTTGGAGTGCGCGAATGCACCAGTCTACAGAAGCAATCACCCAAACACGCAAAAAAAATTAACTGTGTGTTGCAAAGGGGATCGTGGGGGGGCCGCAGATTAGAGCAACACCAATGCCTGAATTGGCCTTGCCCAGAGCTGTGCCAGGATGTCTTGCGCTCCCTCGGTTTCTCATCTCGTTCCAGTTCATGTGATACAGCAGCAAGAAGGTACTCTCGAATTAAGCTATCTTGCTGCTGCAAGAAATAACACTTGACAACAGAAGCACGGTGACGCCTGCTGCACGCAGGGTCGCGACAGAACCGCGAAGGATAAACGAAGTTGGCGGAGAACTGGAACGGATTTGAGAACAAGGAGGTGGCATGGAGCAGCAGCAACGCCAAGGCGGCACTACTGAACTCCGTGCGCAGCTTGGTGCGATGAGCGTGGTGAGAGCTACTGTTGGTTGAGATCCAACGCTCAGCTAGCTTACCAGCTACCTACACCTGCTTTTTGAGTTATGCCGCATTTTGTTCGCCAACTCCCAACGATGGTTGTAATGCAGCCTCGGTGTACAACCGCAGCATGCCTTACGCCAAACTACAGCACTTTGCTATGCACGTGCATACGTACGTTGTACACATGGACCCTCGCCGACACCTATGTGGGCCGACGGTGTATCCCACTCGAAAATACTGGTACGCGCCCTCTGTCCTGTTGCAGGGCGAAGTGGCAAACGCGCTCTGGTAGGTAGGTGTCTTTTATGTACAGGTATATTTACAGCAGTTTTTATTTATCTCGAGTCTAGAGACCGGCAGCGCGCGGATGGAGTCATTGCGCGGGACGGACCCTGTGTGCCGTGAAAACGCACATTTACTCGATGCCTCACTGCTGTCTTGCAGCACGGTTGGTAGCCAGCCGGCCGGGGACATAGCAACCGAACCTCAGCGTGTGTGCCCGCTTTTGCCAGTAGGCCGTACTTCGTCCTCGCCGATGTAGACACGCATGATCTTCGTACCAGACAGACGCTGAGTAAAATGCTTGTTGTGGTAGCATTCGTTCCCGTAGTAGCTAGTTCGCGTCAAGTATTCGCCGGCGTGCGGCTTGGAGGGAGTGCGGTACTGGTTCGGAGTTTCGCCCATTTTTATCAAACGTGTGGAGCTCGTCGTGAGGATATGCAAGAACATAGAGACTTTGGCGGACGACAGCAGTTTGCGCCCGCACTTCAGAACCTCTAGTTTCGGCCGAGTTTGGGATTATTTGTTCCTAGGGTTATTCTACGAATGGCCGCTATATTATTCCTAGTGCAGGAGTTCTTAACGGAGCTCACAAATGGTGCTCAAGTTCTTAGGGATATTCTGAGTTTTTGAAGGCTCAGTTTCGCTTCTATCGCTCAGCGGGCGACTACAAGTATCGGCTGCACTGCTCTTTCCTCAGTACTCCCCCCTGCATCTCTCTCGAAGCTTGCTCGACACCACGCCTTCACAGCTTGTACGGCGTGTCTGCTACGCCCGGGCGTGCAGAGCGCCCGCAGCCATTTTTTTCCGTACAAGGTCGCTACCCCCCCGTTCTCGTATGTTTGTTTTGCTCTATGCAGGAAGGCACCAGTGTCTTGGCGGGTCCGGGCGAGGGAGGGGGGGCGACGCCGATTCAGACTCCTGCTGGGGGCGGGGCTACCGGTGGTGTCGAGGGTGGCTCGAGAGGATCGTCGGGGCTTGCAAATCTGAACGAGCGGAAGCGTGTGTTGGTTGCGAGCATGTCGCCGGAGGATGTGGTGAATATTTGTTCATTGTCGTTCATTTTTTTTCGTGTGTTGATCGTTTTTGATCGTCTGTCATCCTGTAGAACGGTCTTCAGGGCGGGATTTTTTCTAGGGGGCAGTGGGTCGGCGTTAGATAATGGTGTTGCGGGATGTTGAGGGCTCGTTTTTGTAACCTGGTGGTATGCACCCTGCGTACGCGGTTACATGCTACAACCAAGGGTATTTTCCTCTCGTTGGTGCCCTTGGCCCGGACATGGTCACAGCGCGCGGTAAACGCTACAGCGCTACCAATACCAAACTCCAAACATCAGTCGGCATCGATTGCTTTTCACGAACAGCATCTAGACACCTAGTTGACAACTGTAGCACCCCTATGCATAGACGCAGCACGTTTGATTTGTCACCGTCAGCGACAACAACATCGTGCAAACCCTAACGGCCAACAACCAGGTCCTGTGCGTGGACGTTGGCCCCGAGATGTCGAGCGAGTGGGCCGGTGCGGGTCCTGGGGGCACTGCGTCAACGAGAATGCGGGTAGTTCAGGCGGCGCTCAGGGGTTTTGTGCGACGCAAGGCATCCTTCAATCCAAAGGCGAGGCGGTGTTTGGTATTGCGGTTAGTGTCATGCACGCGTAGGGATAGTTTGGTTGTGGCCTCTATGGCCGGCTGTTGTAGCTACTGAGAGAGTACCACGGTTGTTTCTGTTGTTGGCGCTGGCTTATTTTGGATCCAACCGGGAGAACCGTGCAACCTTATTTGCCATGATTTTTCACGATTTGCCCCCACCGACTCTGTTGGCCAGCAGAGTATGAAAGCAGTAAACCTAAGCGTTACCATTGGGCCAGAAAACTTGTTGAGAGACACCTGCTTTTGTTCTCGGTGTTGGCGCATTGATATGCGGAACAGCCTTGCCGGACGATGCTTCTAGGCACGGGTGTTGCGGATGACGCCGATGTTGCGTCCCTCTTCTCCGTCGTGCCCGCAGCATCGTTTCGCCGTGCTGGCGCTCGGCGACGGTGTGACGGTTGTCCGGCCGCTGACCTCGGACGTGAGGAGCGTGTTCGAAGCGATTGACCGGTTGCAGGTGGGGGGTTGTCGTGTTGGGTAGAGGCTGGGGCCACGCATTTTTTCACTTGTTGATGTAGTTTTCAGTCAACATGTCCATAAATCATTGTGTGTGTCGTAGACCGATGTCCAGTCTTCTTGTGTCCCTCGCCCTTGGCCTTCCCCGCTCTTTTCTAGCCCTAGCTTGGAATTCTAGACAAGGTTGACTCGGCCTCACTTCACTCGAACTCACAACTCTCGACCTCACTTCCCGAGGCCGACAAAGGGCATATGTTGTCCCTGTCAGCCTTGTCATCTATCGGAAGACATGACTTTCATTACCGCCGAACCGCCCTCCCGCGAAATATGATCAACGACCCGCCTCCCGAAATCGATCGTGCTCCTCACGGTAGTTCATCCGACGTTCACGGGGGCCATCATGATTCTGGTCGCGTTTTGTCGATCGCGTGCATACTAGTGCCAGAAGGTCGGGTGTGTGGCAACGACCTGGCAGGATGATTGTGTTGGCAGCACACCTTCATCTCCCCCGGCCTCAGAAGTGAAAGCATTGTGGCACATGTACACGAAAACCCACCCCCGTTAGTTTCAACAGTTGCAACTTTTGCTTGCTCTAGTGTCGTGTATCCCTGACAGAGGACGCGGGCAAGCCCTACGAAGCGCCGCCCTCTTATGCTGGGCGTTTCGGACAAGGGTGAATGAAGTACACGTTTTTGCAGTGACCGTAGTGCATGCATTCATGAACGTGGGCAAGCACAGTGGGTTCTCGGTACAGCGAGTACTGCTAAGCTATGCGCACGGGCCCGCCAACGGACTTAGAACCACATCTCTACCACCCCCGTCACACCCAAGCTTCCCGGAGCCTCCAGTATGCCGCCGGAAAGACCCAGTGTTTTTGCTGCAGCGGTCGTTCTAGAAAGGAGTACCCCTGATTGGGCAGTTGGCCTTTGGCAACGGAAGGCGTCTTCGTCAGTTGGACCATTACTAGGAGGTACTGAGAGAAGACCGGATTGGTTTTTCATATGAACAACGCAACAGCAACAGCAAGTGCACCCTCCTGTAGATTGTGCTCAGTCTCACCATTTCCTCAACCCTAATTCCTGACACCCTACACCCACATCACCTCACGCCCATGCCCACCCACCCCAACCCTCGGCATGAAGCCCCTCCAGCCGCCAGAAGCGTCATCATCATCTGTGGTCGAGGGGGGCGAAGACGGCGACGGAGGAGAAACGCCGTTCGACTTCTCGGAGCTCCTGGACTGTATCGCGGAGCGCTTCCCCCCGGCGAAGGACCCCGTTTCTTCGGTGACGGAGGTAGGTGCTGTTGTTGGCTCGGCATCAGCTTTTCGTAGAATATTGTACTTGCTTTTGGTCACGAACCTCTGTTATTTGTAAGCGTGGTAGAGGTTGGTGCGATCATGTCTTTCGGCCCTCGTGTGTTTGGACGCAGATTCTCGGCCCGTCCTTTGGCCAGAGTTGTTTCGCAGCAGACTTGGGCCCGTCGATGTGAACACAGTTGGTTGGCTTTTTTGGACGGAGCATTGCTCCCACAGGACCGACCACCGATGGCCAATATTTCCTTCCTGTTTTACCAAAAGTGGCTAGAAATCA